TTATCCAGCGGATATTGGCAATTTGGTCTCTCGTTCCTCTCCCTTTTCTAAACCCAGCTTGAACATCTGGCAGCTCTTGCTCCATGTATTGCTGGAGTCTTCCTTGCAGGATCGTGAGCATTACCTTACTGGCATGAGAAATAAGGGCCACTGTACGGAAGTTTGAGCAGTCTTTCGCATTTCCCTTTTTTGGTATGGGGATATAAGTTGATTTTTTCCAGTCTGATGGCCATTCTTGTGTTTTCCATATTTGCTGGCAAATGGCATGCATCACCTTGACAGCATCATCTTTTAAGATTTTAAACAGTTCAGCTGGGATCCCGTCGTCTCCTGCTGCCTTGTTGTTAGCAATGCTTCTTAAGGCCCATTCAACCTCACTCCTCAGGATGTCTGGTTCTAATTCATTCACCACACCGTGAAAACTATCCTCAATATTATTATCCTTCCTATACAGATCTTCTGTATAGTCTCGCCACCTTCTCTTGATCTCTTCAGCTTCTGTTAGGTCCCTGCCATCTTTGTTTCTTATCATACCAATTTGTTTCTTATCATACATGATAAGAATTTGTTTCTTATCATACATGAGTCTACACTGACCATATACTGATGTTCCAAACTGCATTATATGGCAGTGTATAGATCATGGAATAATGTATACAAAATTCATGTAAAAATGAAATATTTTCAAATGTGAGACAGGACAAAAATATTATTTACTGTCTAAACACATTAAAACCAAGCTAGGTAGCAGCACATGTTGCAAGTCAAAGGCAATCCATGGAAGAAGCAGCCCAGAAGGAGATAAGAAACTTGGAAATAGGGTGAAATCATATTGGAGACTTTAAAAGTGTAAACTTTCTTACGAAAGGAGTTAGCACTTTCCATCTGAACCATCTGAAGGCATATTTGGTTGTGCATTCAGTTGCTCCATATTCATTTGTGCACTCAGATACATTTATATTAATGCCCACTGCATTGCCATTTGACCAAGCATTCAGCAGCACAATCAATGTGCATATTCCCAAATGGCGATATACGTAGCAATTGAAATATAAGATCTTGGATTATATCTCTACCTACAGACACATCTACACTGTAGAATAAATGCAGTTTGACTCCATTTTAACAGGACTCAGTGCTATGGAATTTGGGGAGTTGTAGTTGGGGAGAGAAGGCTAAAGACCTTGGAAAATGACAGTACCCGGGATTCTATAGCATTGAACCCTGGCAGCAGAAGTGGTGTCAAACTGCATTTGTTCTACAGTGTAGATGCACAACGTACCTATGGAAATGTCTGGGTTTATAGAATTAAGAACATAATAAATGAGTGAGCCAGCATGGAAGACTGGGAGATGCTCTGACTTCTCAGGAAACCATTAAAGGATCAGCCTCCTCTGCAAACGAAATACAAAATGGGTGTTTCCCAAAGGTTCTCAGACACTCTTTTAGATAACACTGGAAGCATCATCACCATGTTTTAGCTTACGTGGGCCATTAACAAGACTTGAACATAATCAATTTATTGTGCATTTTCTATTCTTTAAAAGACCAATTCTAGGCTTAAATTGGCCAGCTACCTCTCTGAGGTGAAGATGATAATGATGGTGATGATGACGACAACAACAAGAACAACAAGAACAAGAACAACAACTTTATTTTGTACCCTGCCTCCATCTCCCTGAAGGGACTTGAGTTGGCTTACATATGGCACAAAATGCCTCCAGCCACCCCATCCATCTCCAAGAGGAGATTTTGGAATATTGTGTCCAATTCTGGGCACCACAATTGCAGAGAGATATTGACAAGCTGGAATGTGTCCAGAGGACCTCCCCAGTAGCATTTTGGCCATCTTCCGACCTGGGAGTCCCATCTTCCAATGGCATACCGACATATCTCTGGTTGTACTGGTCCATTTAGTTTTCTTGGCAAGAATACTGGGGTGGTTTGCCGTTGCCTTCCCCAGGGATCACGCTTGGTCTGACCTCTCTGCCACACCGTCCCGTCTTGGGTGTCCCTTCACGGTTTCGCTCATGACATCATTGAGGTGCTCAAGCTCCAGCGCCCCGACAAGGCGGTGATCCTTTGCTGGAGGTATAAAAGATAGTGTGTAAAAAAGTGTTCATGGAAAAATGCCTAGAATTTATATTTTATTTTTCATTGCTAAAATGAACCACACTGCAACTTATTCCACACTGGGGAAAATACTCTTCTGCTTTGGTTTTCGGATTGCATGTGGTAGAAGGTTCGGATTGCATGTGGAATCAAGCAGTTTTTCTCTTTTCTCTGTCCTTCTTGAATACATCCACTACTTAAAATACAGGTCTGTTTTCTCTCTGACCATTCCTAAAGTACAGGAAGTGATTGTTAAAGAAAAGCTTGTAATTTCCTTGTTCTTTCATATTCACTGCCTGTCCTAGTCTATGCTGCCGTCACCTCTCTATAAATCAGCAACTAAATTGTATAAGAAGAAAAGAGGAAATAGAAGAGAATGTGACGTATTGTTCTAACTTGTTCTGCATTGTGATCTTCCAGATTGTTCTAAAGCTGCATGACACCTTGCAGTGAAGCTCCTTTGTCCTCTCCTTCTCCACTCCTTCCATTACTTTTAGCAGCTCTTTGTAGTAATTTATTGGTTCTACAGTAGGGCTCTTAGGGAGGTCTTATGCATTAAATGGCCAAATGTCTGTCTGTCTGTAATGCTCTAATGAAAAAGTGTAATTTCATTGATTCACCGCTGCTTTATAACATGAGATTAAGACAGAGATAAGGGAACAAAAATTAGTTCCAATATATCTTGGAATGAAAAAGAAGCTTGCTTGAAATTAGGAATAAAATCTTGTCAAAAATAGTCCAAGACAACTAAAATATCATTTGAATATTTAGAAAATGCCAGAAAACTACAGCAACAAATAAGACAATCTCCCAATATCTATGTCTCATCTGAAGAAGTCCATTCTCTCTATATTTGTGCCACACTACTCCATTATTAGCACAGTTATATAACTATTGTTGCTTTAGTGAGACAAGTAATGAATCATAATGTATTAATTGCAAACTGAATCAGTCCAAATGAGGAGGCAGTTGGAACATTCCATTTCATACATTCCATGAAATGAGATATCAATCAGCAATCTTTCTTAATATTCCATTCCCCAACTTTTTGAATGAACATGTCTGTCATTAAGTTTACAACATTGAAAAAATAATAATTTTAAAAAACATGCACTATTTATATGCAGTTATAGGATGTGTCATAATAATGGACACATTTTGACAGAAAATTTTGATTGAATCTTAGTGTGCATCTATGAATATATTTTGCGGAATTTTTTTTACATTTTCTTGCTCCTTCAGATGTATTAATTGCATACTTGTTGTTTTTTCTTCCAGTGTATCTTGAAGATAGTTTTGTAAAATCTGGAGTCTTCAACGTATCAGAACTGGTGCGAGTGTCTAGAAGTAAGCATTTTCAAAATGAAAACGTATTGTTATTTTAATAATTTTTGAGAGGGTTAAGAATCTTAAAAGGTTCTTAAAGCAAGAAATAAACATAAATCAAGAAGGAAAAGGAAATCTGAAATACATTTATGGGACACTCCTTCTCCACAGCAAACTGTATTTTAAGGAACAATATTCCATGCATCCAACTGAAAGTATCATATTTGATTTAATGAAAGCTCAGGCAATGTTATTCAAACAATTCTCCTTTCAGAGTTAATAAATCAAGGTTAATTTATAGGGTATAAACTTAGGTTATCATGAACATCTTAATAGTGGATGGAAGTTTACTAAACAATAAACAAGCTGCCTCATGTCAGTAAAAAAGGAAAGGAATTTAGAACAGAATAATTAAGAAATACACAGAGTGTTTCTTAGTTTTCAGTGAAATTATATCTACAGTGAATGTGACATTGTACAGCTGTTTAGAACTTGCTTATACAGCTGTACTTGGCCAGACTTGCTAATTTTGTGTCCCCGTGCACTCAACCAGGGACAGTATTTTTGTACTGTGAATCTGAACAACCTCAGTCAGCACAGTCTGTAGTGAGCAATACTAAATGATGCAGTCCAACTTCTGGAGGGCATAATCATCGTGTTTTCCCCATTTGTGTTTCTTTTAGTGAATTTTGATAGTTGATACATTTGGTTGTATAACAGGCAATGGCAAATATTATTGCAATCTTTTTTTCTCATCAGAACAATTTTTCATAGTTTGGTGACTTATCTGAAAAATTACAGTCTTTTTTTTTTTTACAGTCATATATTAGACATCATATTGTATGTGATAGATGACTATGTCATTTTGTCACTGACTGGCAATTCAGTGTCTTGTGACCCAAAGGAAAAAATGGAACTTCCTTTGGCCATTCTCGGTTTCTCGCTGTCAGTTGGTCGAAGTTTTTATTTCTTGAGCTGTGCTGTTGCTACCATGCCAGCTTCCAATTGTCTAAAACTCTTATATCTACTTTTATGGAGTGGGGAAATTGACTCAGAGCTTATATCTGGGAGTTGTATGTTTAGCTAAATGATATGAATTAAAATTGCTAACACTTATACAATAAAATTAATATTGTTTGTTTAAAATAAAATCTATATTCTTTGGGGGGGGGGCTTATTCTATAGTAATTGTAAGATTGCTCTGTACATTCAGAAATACTCAACAGTGAAAAGTTTCTATTGGCTTTGGCTTTGTGCTTTGACATGCAGTAATTAAGATTAAAACACCTGTCTCTTTTGAAGTAGCACATACATTATATTTGAATTATCATGAGAATATAAATGTAGCACAATATGCCAATACTTAAAATAAGTCATAAAAACAACACATATATTTATTGCATGCGTATGGAGTAATGAAGATAAAAGCAATGCATGCAGCAATTATGTCAGAGAAGAGTATTTTGTTTTCATATTTACACGTTTATATTATATTTAAAGATTATTACATTATTTTGTTTTCTGCACAATAAATGAGCAGATATGGAAACCTGTTACAAATACTATCTTACAACATATACATGATGCTTGTTAAAAAAAATTCTATAAGATTTTTTGTCAAACTGTACAATTATTGAAATTAATAAATAACAAAAACAATAATGTTCTCTACATTCTTGTTTTTAATTTCAAAAATATGTGATGAATTTAATGTGTTTGTTATAACATGCAAATGTTATTTAGAGGATAGATGTGACTACTTTTATGCTGTGTTCCTTTAGCGCCGATAACCCAGGGAACTGGAGTAAACTTCCCTATTGGAGAGCTTCCAAGTCAACCATACTATCATGATATGAACTCGGGTGTAAACTTACAAAGATCACTATCCTCTCCACCAACCAGGTGAGTTTATTACAAGAAGACCTAGTTGTTGATGTTTGATTACAGTCTTTCTCACTAAAGGTGATAGTATGGCAATATTGTGAGTATAATATTACTTTACTCTGTAGGCTTTAGCACATTATGTATATTATAGTGCTACTTCTTAATTAGTTAAATCTGTATAAATTAATATTACTGTACATACTTGTTCTTGGTAAATTAAAAATAAGGTATCATGATACTTTCTGTGAGATCCAACATCTGTTAATGAAATAGAGTTTTCAAATGTGAAGCCTTGTTATCAAAATGATGTGTATACCCATGTTTAGCTCACATTTGGCTAAATTACAGGTAGTAATTTGGTATTGTAAAAAGTTAAAAATCTTCACTCCTCCAAGAAACTGGATAATCTATACTTTCTTATTTGTCACATGTATATATCACCATTCTTCCAAGAAGCTAAAAGCTATGTATATGACTCCTTTGCATATTTATCACCACAACAATCTGTGAGGTTGTAAGATAGGAACTGGCCCAAAATCACACAAGATGCATCATGGCTGAATGTGTTTTAAAGTTTCATGACATGCTATACTGTGAGTGGGCAGTAGATTGGAATGATTTACTATGGATTGCTAAGGGTTTATGACCATAAATACTGTCTCTTGTATATTCACAGTAAGAGACCGAAAACTATATCCATAGATGAGAATATGGAACCAAGCCCAACAGGGGACTTTTATCCTTCCCCAAATTCACCAGCTGCTGGGAGTAGGCCATGGCATGAAAGAGATCAAGGTGAGTAAATCCAAGCTATTGAAAACTTCTTAACAGTGTATTCCAGTATGTATCTGCTCATAAGTAAGCACATTGATCCAACTGGATTTTATTACCAGGGAAGTTGTAAGATTGCAACCTTGTATTTTGATTTCTGTAAATTTCCTTTAAAACCTGATTATATTGGTGACTTGCAGTTTGAAAAAGAGAAGTAAAATTGAATCATTTTCCAAGAGGTTTCAGACTTTAAAAGTGATAGTCTTAATCCAGTGTTAGCCATATTAAAAAAAGACTATTTGAAATCAATGAGTTTTAGCAACAATCTCTATTGTTGATTAAGCTCACTTTTCTCTTTACCAAAGTGTTTTTCACTGGAAATAAAACTCATCCCATAAGAAGTCACATGTATATATCACCTTTATTTCACCATTGGATTCATGGACTAACAGTAGCTAGACTCATAGATCACATAATTGTTTAGTTTATAAAAATGTATGTAAGGTTTCTTCCCACCAATTCTTGTGCCATTAATAGCAGTCTGGAATGAAAATATTAGTAAGGTACAGCTGGTTTGGTTAAGCAATACATGTTTTATTTCTTTATGGTGATTTTTAAAGTAAAGATTCAGAAGAAAATCCAGAAAAAAGAAGCCTAATTTATATTTTATGTCCCTTCACTTCTTGAACTTAGCAATTTGTATAGTCCTCAAATGATGTACTTCTCTGTCTATTTATAAACCAATGAAGATTCACTTTATCCATTGTCTGCTTAATAACTTCGAACCCTTACATGAAGTTCTTCATAATTTTGCTACTCATTATTCTGGCATTTTTACAGATATAAATAGAACATACCTTCTGCTTAGTTGCAAACATATATGATGATTGAGTCTGTCAACTGCTTCATATACTCTTTTTATGGAATATTTGAAATATGGTGTATTGGAGAATTTGAATAAATTCCATACTGATAGAAAGGTTTGCCCTGACCCTCATTCATAGCTAAGTGACAGTAGTAATTATAACTAAAATGTTGTGATGATATTGAAATCAATGGGCATGATTCAACTCTTTAAATAACATTTTCATGGACAAATTAAGCATATAAAATCAGAGGAAATAAAAATACTGTAGTGTTAACAGGATCATGTCCTACTATTTTATCTTATTTTAGCTGTACCCATGGAATTATATGTCCTTGTCTGCCATTTTAAGAATCTCTGTTAAGTTAAATGAAAGTACTTAGATTAATATAAGGTGCTTTTTGTTATACATGGCCTTTCTTTTTCTTAATCTTGATAGAAGTACCCATTCTCAGAAGTACCTATTTTCATTTCATAGATTGAACTCGTAATAGCTTGTCCAGTTCCTCATTAATGTTATAATTAAGACAGTTTCTAGTTCATTTATCAACATGAAAAGCCCATGTTATGTAACAAGATTTGTTTTGGATTTATAATAGTCATGAATGTTGGTATAATTTCTAAAGGAACTTTAAAAAAACTACATATGACTTCTACAATTCTTTAAAGAGAGCATTACAATATATGGTGCCAATGATAAAGGTCTATTAGCTTTTGTTTGCTTTTTTATATTTCAGTCCCTTGGATCATAGTCACTTTCCTCCTTTCTCTCCCTCCTTTTCAGACTGTTGAACCGAGCTTTATTTGGTTTCATTTCCACATCCTTTCCATTTGCCCTAAAATAATCAGTTATAATGCGGTTTTTACATTCTGTGATGAACTGTAAAGTTTGAAACTTTCCTTTAGTTATATATAAATGTGTGAACACCCCCGCCCCATTTCCACACATGCACACACACACTGCTGCTAAAGGAGCATTTGTGCATTGGTGATCTTATTATGAGTATTTTCTCAGACCTTACAAATAATATTCCAATAATATCCACTTGTTTTCATCAAGTGTAACAGTGGCTGAGTGTGATCTAACTTTGCCATTCTGGCGAAAGAGATGCTTTGTCTTTGGCCCTTCCAGACAGACCCTATATCTCAGGATCTGTTCCCAGGTTTTCTGCTTTAAACTGGATTATATGAGTCTGCATTGCCAGATAATCTAGGATAAACAGAAAACCAGGGATCAGATACTGGGATAAAGGGCGCATCTGGAAGGGCCCTTGGAGACTTCCCCCATGGAGCTCCCTGGGGTCTTTCACGTTCTGCTCGGGAGGATAGGGAAACCCCCTGGCACACGTGACTGCGTGGTGTGGAGAGCTCTAGTGAGGAGGGAGGAGAAGTCTAAGTGTGTTACCAAAACTGCAGTGCAAGATTTAATAATGGCTTATATCAAAATCTCTCCATTATCCTAGACATTAGCACAGTTTCAGAAATTTATTGCTGAACCCAAGATTCTAGGAAATTTCACATTCATCTTTATCCAATCGCTACTCCATGTGCCAAGGAAAACAGGAAGAATTGGTACCAAATTTCATCAAAACCACCTCATTCTTAAATGTGGATGCTCATAAAGAACAATCTTAAGGTCCTTATCATGGTGGTCTCTGCATAGTTCTAGTTGTGGAGTGCAGAGTTCTGTGGTGCTTAAGCTTTGGTGACCTTCAGAACAAGAAAAAATGTGTCTGAATGTATTCATGAATATAACAGAGCAGGACTTTTAGGGGCTAGGGTTTATTAAAGTGTTTTGCTATCTCTATTTTTCTTCTTTCATGTTCTTTTTTTTTTTTGCTTCTCTATAGTTTAGTCTTTGTCTCTGATAATTAGTATTATAGTAATGCAAGTGTTTGTGCTGTTGCATAATTACTTGGAATTCTATTAGTTTTGCATTGCTATGCACTGGGCATGATTACTGAACTTGATTTCTTTGCTGCGTCTTTATTTAATTTTCAGTTATGTTTCTCACATCACTTTGCCTTTCTTAGAGCTAATGCATAGTTTTCCACTGGTGTGCTTCAGAAATGAGTACATCCTTCATTGTTGATTAGACTGTAGGATAGTACATCCTGAATTTGAAAGCACATGGATTTTAGACTATGTTAGAACAAAGGGTATTTGGATTAGATATTGTGATTTACTTTTCAGGGGAAATGTGTATTATCAAAATAGGCTTTTCTGGGTCTCCAGAAATTAAGAGGCAGATGTCTGTGTTGCCATGATCAGACACATTTAAGGTCTGATTTTGTGTCAACCACAGTATCAACAAATATGGCTTTGATGTTCTGAGTTGGTAAGTACCAAGGGAGCTGACACAATTTGTTCCCAAGGATCATCATATCTCCAAGTTATCTTCTTACTAGTTACACATCTTTCAGTTTCAAGCTCTTCTCAGGTTCAGAGTTACTGAAATTTGTGGAGGCTTTGGTTCTGCTTTCCTCTAACTTCAGACATAAGGGTAGGAAGAAGCTCCACTTGCGAAGGGTTTCCATACAAGAGAACTTGATACCATCACAAAGGAGAAAGAAGAAATACAGTTGAACAAATATTGCTGCTTTCATAAGATTCTGAGACTAGTAGCAGAAGATGAGGTTGGTTTCAACCTCAGTTCGCATCCTCCAGTGCCATAAGAGTATGATCATGCAATAATGGCAGGCACAGCTTTTCTAGAAGGTTCCTGAAGCTCAAGAGCACCCGAGATCTTTGCTCCACAAGTATGAATATGCAGAACCACACTTATTGGTAAGTAATTTATTTTTAATTTTTATCACAATTTGAGAAGAGAGGGCTTTTAATGAATTTAAGAAATGTTTATCAGGGAGCTCATATATCCTAATAACAATCTCAGTTCCATGTGCTTAAACATCCCAAAATGCCTCCATATACATTTGGAGTGGGAGGTCAGCAGGCTCAGGGGATCATAAGATTTGAAGAAGTAGAAGAAACATTTAAAAGACATTCTAGTGCAGGAATTGCTAAAAAACCGAAAGCAGTATAGAGTGAGTATGTTGACTGACTACTAAATGCTTACTGACTATTGTGAGAAAAAAACAGAAAGGATAGAAAATGGCATTGCATTTCTCTCCCTCTCCCTCTCTCTCTCATTTTCACACACACCAATGTGTAACAGTTAAGTCAAAGCCTTTGGTTAACATGTTGGCACCTCTCTTAAGCATGATACCTCCTTTAGGAACACCTGTTAGCAGAGGGCAGCCGATATTATGTCTGTTAATTATTTCAGCATAATTTTCCTCTACTTGCTAATTTAGCTAATTGGCAACCTGGTTTGAAATAGTGTAGGTAAGACGTTATGGAAAAAATAGGGAACCCAGTATATGCATTCTTAATGAACTGGGGGGAAATAGAAGCTGTGCAAATCCATCAGAAATAGTTGGTAAGACAACCTCCAGAGCATAAGAATGTCACAGTAGTAGGCTATGAACCTCAGACTTAAGAGTAGGGTTTTCTTTTTGCCTTTTCTTTTCATGCAGCAAGAATTTATGCAGTTTTATCCAATTGTGTCTCTTTGAGACAAAAGTTCAACTAATACAGCTTGTCAAAGCATGATACACATTTTGGCCACCATCCCAGAAACTGTTTGGGGGAGGACTGAGGTTTCTGAAGTCCTTTATAAGGTGCCTGGAGTTTCAGATTAGGAATTCTGGCCTCCAGAGCCAGGCATGTTGTTCTCTGCCCCACCATGGTGATTTGCCAGAAAGGGGGAGCTGCATACTTGATATTTCTGCCATTGAGACACTACCCGCTTATACTTCATCTTCTAGTTCAGCAGTTATCAGGTGAAAGCAGTGGAGCAATAAAATTCCCTGCCATTCTTTAAAGCCACAATGCTTGTACTTGTTAGTTTGTCAGTGTAATTGTGAGTGCATCTACACTGTAGAATCAATGCATTTTGATACTATTTTAACTAACTTCCATGGCTGAGTACTATGGATTCTTGGGATTTATAGTTGTGTGAGGCCCCATTACTGTTGGCAGAGAATATATTGTAATACTACAACTCCCACAATTCCCTATCATTGAGCCATAGCAGTTAAAGTGGTGTCAAACTGCATTCGTCTTACAGTGCAGATTTATCCTTACTCACACGAGTAAA